AAAGAATATTGAGAAAGACAATCTTTTCATTTTCATCAGTATGATGGAAAACAAGTATGCACTTTTTTGTCAGGGTTGTGCAGTAGAAGTTAACTTCGAACAAGTCATGCATCTAGACTAATGATTTTCTTTTGCGTAGTTGATGTGCAGGCAGAAAAGAAAAATATGTATACCTTGAAATCTTGTTTTATACAGAAACATTAATCACTTCATTTGTTTATAACATGAGATCACTTTATATTAAATTTAATTCCATATAACAACATAAGAAACGCTTTATGAAATAAATCAATTAAATAAAACTACTTTTCGGCATTCCGAAGTAACTTCAATAATTTTTCATCCCCCCAGTTAGTCAGACATTTTTCTGCGAATAAAATATATTTCGTTCAATAGAATGATAACTGTTCTTTTTTTTTAGTTCTATGCTGTAATAATAGAAAATGTGTACACAACACAAAATTATCTAAAGATAATTTCACTTTTTTTTCCCAAAGAACCGTTAGATTAAAATACACTGCGCAATGATGTTTGCGTGTTATAATTAGAATAATGAAAACTGCATCGTCATAGAAAACTGTGTGTTACAGAAAAGGATGGTAACTAATATCCGGTGATGTCGGAAGAAAAACACCGTTACTATGCCGTTAGAAAAATTAACAATAACGTTTATGTCGTCTTTACTTTCTTTACACATTTTATTTAGCAAAATTAATGCAAATACTCTCTAGAGTTTTGAATATGTTGTGTATCATTATGATATGTTCGGTTTTGTTCATGAGTCTCTGAATTCGTAAGATCTGAACTAGTGAGAAAATTCTTGAACCATTCCTCTGTATTACGACTATGTCTCTTTCTTTTGATACATCACAGATATTTTTTTATTTCATCAGTATGGTGGAAGAAATAATCATGATTTAATTTTTTTGTAAGATTGTGAAGGAAACTTCATCTTAAAAAAACTACTTTTAGAAATAGAATATTTTTTCGTAGTTAATGTGCAGGTGGAAGACAAAAGTGTATATATCTTCAAAACTTGTTTGATGTAGAAAATAATCAGTTTACTTGTTTATAATATGCCAGTACTTTAAGTTTAATTTAATTCCATATGATAACATAAAAAACGCTTTACGAAATAAATCAATTTATCTTCAAATGAAATGTATCCCGTCCAATAACATGGTGTCTGTTCTTTCTTTTTTTCCGTTCTGCGTTGCTATAATATAAAATGTGTACACAACACAAAAACTATCGCAAGCTAATTTGGTATTCTTCATAAAGAAACGTTAGAAAAGAATCTTTGTGCAACGTTGTTCGTCTATTATAATCAGAATAATGGAAATTACATCGTCAAAGAAAACTGTGTATTACAAAAAAAAAAGATGGTAATAGCTATCTGCTGATGTTGGAAGAAAAACAGCGTTACTATGTCGTTAGGGAAAATTAAAAATAACGTTTATGACGTCTTTACTTTCTTTATACATTTTGTTTAGCAAAATTAATGCAAATGCTCTTAAAGTTTTGAATATATTCTATATCATTGCGATATGTTTTCTTTTGTTCACTAATCTTTTGAATTCATAAGATCTAAGCTTGTGAGATAATTATTGAACCATTCCTCCATATTACAATTATAAGAAATAACAAACGCAGAATACGTAAACTCTACATTCGAAATTTACAGAACAGAGGGCATCCATAATACTCCCAAAATTTTAACCACCTAGGAAACTCACAATTCATGAAGACGAAGAATTGCGAAAACTCTACAAGCACAAAAAACAACGTTTTCTTCACTTTTGCAAGTCAACAAAAATAATTTTGAATAAATAGATATACATAAAGTTATTATTTAATAAAGAATAGAATAATTTTTTTAAATTTTATTTTGTATTAAACAGAAGAGAAAAAAAGAAAATAAACAAAAAAAAAGGAAAAAATATATATATCATAAATAATAAATATTGTAACGGGAAGGCCTTTCGAATTTTTTCTTCTTTATCACGCTAGTTTTAAAATGGTCGTATATTTTTTTAATAAGTACAAGTAACGCTCATTCGATGGATTCTTGAGGGTGTGGGTATGGGTGTGGGTGTGGGTGTTGGTGTTATATTATTCACAGGATAGTATTATCATTTATATTCATTGCGGATGATAAATGAAATTCTTCAGTACCTTGATGTTGTTGTTGTGATAAATCCATATCCGAATAACTTAAACTTCGTGTTGAATAAAAACTTTCATTATTATGTAAATTATTCATAACAACTGGTGTTGAATAATGTTCAACAGCTGTTTTCGAATATACAGAAGTTTCAATCTTATTTTCGGACATTTATCTCTTATTCTTATCGATTTTTATATTATATCTTATGCGCAAAATGAATAATATATAACAATAGATGGGTTTACTCATTTATAGATAATCATCAATCAAGGTGTGTCTAATAGATGGTTGAATCACTCACTTGCATAGATTGAGTTGTGGATCTTGTTTGTTGACGAAGTTGAATAACTTGTGTATATCAACTTTGTCCATAAAAATTATTAAGTTCTTCTTTAAAATGTTCATGATCATCAGGTGTTGAATGTGGTGTACGATAAGCTGGTGGAATATATTTCTACGAAATATACAAAAATTATAAAAATTATATAAATTAATAAAATAATAAATAGATATTATTTACAGATATAGCATCGTTAATTTGACCAATTGTTATTTTATCCATCGGCGATAGTGATGAATTTTCACATAATTTTACAATTCAATCACCAAGTGCTCTTATAATAGAAAATAATAATTCATCAATTGTCTAAATGAATTAGAATCAACAAAATTTATTTGATTTTACATTTTATCTATTTACTTTTTGATCCATTTCACATAAACCAACAAGTGGTAAACGTTCACTATGAAATGTTTGAATTAATATTCGTACAATACGATTTCGTAAATCATGAATGCTATATATACTTGAGCATTTGAACTCAATGTGATGAACCATGATCGCGTACTGCCCAATGATTATCTGCAGCTGGTCTAACACAGAGTTGTTTTGTTACAATAAATGACATAATAGCTGGAAATAATTGGGCGATAATGCACTTGTCATTCTCATTAAGTAGATTGATATTGCTATATTGTATTGCATTAAATTAATTTGAACACCTTCACAAATAAATAAAACAATCTGTGATAAAATTTGATGAAGACTTGTTTCTGTCAGAAGACTAGCAATAGTTTCCTAAAATAGGAAATAGATCAATAAGAAAAATAAATTATTTTACAATAATGAAAAAAAACATACTTGACGTTTTTGTTCTTCCGAATCAACACATGCTTCAGTTATTTCTTTGTAATAAATATGTTATATCTAGAAATAGATGGATTTTATGAAATATAATTTATCTGAGTATGAGATATTTAAAAAAAGTCATTTAGACCTACTAATTCGATAAAACTTGATAGTATTTTGTCTGAATCGAAACACTCTAATCTTTCTGATAATCTTCGACATAAATATGTTCTATCATCCATGATTTATGAGTATGTTTTTAACGTACCAAAGAAAGTTCATGTGGATTTGAATTTTTAATTTTCAATGCATTAAGATTATATCATTTCTTTGTTAACGATTTCATCTAAAAATACAATAAAATTCAATGAAAACTTTTTCTTTTTTTCAAAAATCTTACAGGATCGAATGAAACTGTTGTAAGATCAGCTTTTGAAATAATTTCCAGATTTTCATTAATTGTTGATTGTTTACCTTCAATTGTAAGCCAATGAGCTAAAAACAAATGGTTAAAAATAACTATTTATTTTTTCTTCTGTAATTTTAAATAAATTTACTTCGTGTGGAAATATCTAAAGGTATTTTTGGCATTGGAGCAGTAATAACTTGATCAAGCTGTAGTTTATGATCATCAATACATTGAACTTCATGATGGCTTAATCCTGCTACTGTTGTTGCTTTAAATGGTAATTTTCCATTTGATAAACGAAATCAACAATTAACTATAAAACTAAATATAATTTTCTTTTTGGTTTTGTTCGAAAATCTTTTACTTCTAAATATCGTATTTGTCATTGTTGATTGAAAATCATCTATTGTCATTTTTGTTCGACGACATTTTCTTGTAAATTTAAGATATTTTTTCTTTTCTTCGTTACCCAGATCAGATATCATATATTCTAGTCGTTCGATCCTCTTTTCTTTTCTGATATAATATCTTTGATCATACATACAGGGTGTGGGTGAATGCGTGCGTATTCTATCTCCTCCACGCCCTCAAGTAAATTGAATAAAATTATTTATTAACTGATTATCTATTTCATTAAAGATTATATGATATTATATTGCGTGTTAATAATATTGATTATACAAGTATAAAACATCAAATAAAGCTCTTCATATTTTAAGAAAATCTGAAAAAAACTTCAATTATTTTATATTGAGTTTATTCGACGTCTTTTACCATGAAATAGTGAAGAAGTTCAATCGAAGCATAATAGTCAATTAAGCGTTTCTATTGCAGGTGGATTTGAAAATGAATATTTATTATCGATATAAAGAAATATTAGGCTAATAAACAGTTAGATAGTGAACGATAGATTATTACAAATTTCATTAAATATTTCTTGTCTTTAACGATAGAAAGCTGGATAAAATGATGGAGTATATCCTGAGAAATGTATAAGTAGAATTTGATTTCTAATAAGCAGATTAATGAAAGAAGGTTTGTTTTGAATGATCATATAATATTTAATCTTTTAGCAATTATTAGAATATCAAGTTTTATCTAAAAGTAGACAATATTAATGATCATCATTATCATAACGAGCATTCATTTTTTCCATGATTTTCATTTATATGATATGTAAATAGAATATTCGAAGAAACTCATCATATAAAGTTTTCATTTAGTATATAATCAGTAATCGATCTTCTCACGTTATTGTAGACTGATTTACATTTCAAAATGTTGTTACATTGCATAATCTATTGTCACAAGCAGCAATCATGCTTAAACTAGAAAAGTAAAATTGCAGAGATCACTTGCTCATTGTTTTCAGTGAGTTTATAAATAATATGGCAGCTTGTCACACAGAAATTATTTGTATCCTTTCTATATTTATCATAATCAGAATCTGGTAATTACAGATGACATACAAGTCCTGACTTATTTTCAATGTTTCAAGTGAAGCTATAAATATGTTAAAATAATTTGTATGGTATGTCGTTATTAAGTGGCGTCAAAATAACTTATAACTGCTCGAATATCCTTGATATATACTCCCGTCTTTACAAAAAATTCAGGAAGAAAAACAACTAATACAATGTGTGTTTACGCTATTTGATTCATTAGTAAGTCCAAAGAATTGAAACATACATTTCTATTCATAGTTTTATTTTCAATACAAAAAAGAAATAAAAATTCAAACCAGATATTATAGTGTTTCAATGTTAAATGATATGAAATATTTTTATTTTAAGAATCTTTTTGCAAAAGTAAAATTAAATCTAAATCTCTAATAAGAATAAAACATGTATTCACATATTATAAATCCACAGTGACATCAATTAAAGATTTTATAAACAAAAATATGATTCTTATCATTGTTAGTGAACTAATTTAACATGTGATTAACTCGAATATTTCGCAGTTAAATTGTTCAAACAATAAAATTTTGATTGTTAGTTATAGAATGTTTGGATATGGAAAGTTCTAGAGAGCCACATTCAATTCATTCTGTTTCCATGGTATACAAATTTGACGAACCGTATCATATATCTTTAAATAATAGCGGCCTCTTTTATAATATGAAGGTAGATATGTTCATCTCGAATAGCAACATAACTCATTATGGTTATTATTTTTTAGCGTATATTTTTTAAATATCGTACTTTATAAAAAAAAAGAATACTCGAGATCAAGTGCGCTAAAAGCACAAATCATACCATTATTATGATATTATTTGCTTATTTTTCGTTGATAACTTTCTTTTCTTATAATCATCTATCTATCTGTTTATCTATTTTCAGAACGAATACTTTATTAATCAAAATTAAAAAAAAATAAAGTAATCATTATAATGGCTGCATCGAATACAGGTGAAACTGTTCGTGTCATCGTACGATGTCGACCAATGAATCAACGTGAAAATGATCTACAATCTCAAGTAAGATAATTCTTATAAACATCTTTTTTAGTACAATAATTTGTTATTTCCTATTTTAGACAATTGTCTCAATGGATACACAAACAAATCAAGTAATGCTAGAAAATCTTGAACAAACTAATGAACCACCAAAACAATTCACTTTCGATGCTGTATATCCAGAAAATTCCATAACAGAATCGATTTATACTGATTCTGTTTTTCCACTAGTAGAAAGTGTATGTTTAAATTTACTTAACAGAATAATCAAAATAAAATTTATTTTCCTTTCAGGTACTTGAAGGATACAATGCAACTGTATTTGCTTACGGACAAACAGGGTAATTTAGTTCATATTGTTCTCGAATTCTATCATAAATAAAATCTATTTTTAGATGTGGAAAATCATATACTATGCAAGGAGTTAACACACCTGGGTCTCCACAACGTGGTATAATACCTCGATCATTTGAGGTAAAAATTTCTATCTATTCATATAGAAATTACATATAATTAATTCTAGCATATATTCGAAGCATCATCTGTAGCAGCTGGTACTAAATATCTTATTCGTGCATCATATCTTGAAATATATAATGAAAGTATTCGTGATTTACTTGGTAAAGATATTAAAGCAGCACTTGATTTGAAAGTAATATAGAATTAATTTAAAAATATATATATTTCATATTTTGGTTTTTATTCAAAAGGAACATACAGATAAAGGTGTATATATACAAAATTTAACATGGCATCAATGTACAAATGTAGAAGATTGTGAACGATTAATGGATAAGGGTAATAAAAACCGAGCAACAGGTGCTACACTTATGAATAAGGATTCATCAAGATCTCATTCAATTTTTACTATACTCACGGAAATGTGTAGTCGAAGTGAAGTTGATGGAAAAGAACATATTCGAGCAGGAAAACTTAATCTAGTTGATTTAGCTGGTAGTGAACGACAATCAAAAACACGTAAATATAAGATTTTTTTCAAATGTTTATTCATATTGATTTGTGTAATATAGATGCTGAAGGTGAACGTTTACGTGAAGCTACTCGAATTAATTTATCACTTAGTGCCTTGGGTAATGTTATTTCTGCTTTGGTTGATGGCCGTTCTAAACATATACCATATCGAGATTCAAAATTAACACGTCTTTTACAAGATTCACTTGGTGGCAATACAAAAACATTAATGGTAAGAAAAACAAATAAATCTATTTTTATAGATATAGAAATATTTTATTTTAAGGTTGCTGCTATAAGTCCAGCTCATGATAATTATGAAGAAACACTTTCAACTTTACGATGTAAATTTTCATTTATTTATTATTAAAATTCTAAAAAAAACCTATTTAGATGCTAATCGAGCAAAAAATATTAAGAATAAACCTCATATTAATGAAGATCCACGTGATGCACAAATGAGAGTCTTACAAGAAGAAATAAATCGTCTTAAACAGGAACTTCTTGGTGCTGGTAATACTAATCGTGGTAATCAATCATCATTAACCGATGGACAAGTAAGTTTATTTGTTTTATTGTGATTTTCTGCTAAACCTGTATGTTCATCAATATCTAAAGCATCCCATGGATAAACAATCCATTCACCACCAACATTTTCACCAACAAAATAAGAATTTTTCATTAAATCTTCTGGTAAATTAGCACGTTTAGTAATTGTTTTATTATGTACAACAAATACACCTAATTTTGGTTCGATCCATTCTTCATTATTTTCTTTACATATATTTCGTTGTTTTTCAATATCTTTTTCAAGTTCACTTACAGCATAACTTAATGTTGTACGTGTTTCATCAACTTCATCAATAATAAGAATATGTTGACCATTAAATGATACAGCCCATGAATCATTTTTTAAATCAGTTGATATCCATTGAGTCTTATATATTTCATGTTTTTCACTTTCATATAAACATAAACCGATTGTTTGAATAGGTAATGATTTACCACCTATTTCACATTTAATAATATTACGTAGAATTCTTGTTGGTAAAAATCCACCAGCACTTATAGCAATAAGAAGTGTTGGTGAAAATGTTTTCACAAGATTTGTTCGTTGAACGGTTTTTCGAATTATATCATGTAATTGATTATATGATATATAAATTTTGTTAACTTCATC